ACTTTGGTGGGCTATGATTTCATACCAATTGAAGGTACCTAGAAAAATGAGCATAGATGCTTGATAGCTTAGTGGTGGTGTGTAGTATTCGTAGGCCTAGGAGAAACAGTAAACAGTGTGAGCATCGACGTTTGATGTGACGGATAGAGCGAAACCACCTCCGGTGGTGGCCTTGTCAGCTGGGGTGGTTCTCGCTGAGCTACCAGCAGCAGTATGATGTCGGAAGTGGAAGCCAATTTCTGGTTCCCAAGAAATAAATTCCACGTCAAAGAACTATTCGTAAGGACAGGAGTTTCTGCTAATACTCATTCGATTTTTGTTTCCTCGACTATGAATAATGAATACAACAAAAGGGAAATGTACCTCTTTGGTGTGCATCAAGCATGCAAAAACAAACACTGGTGGTCGGAAAGGATGTAAATAGCGAGCGGGATTGAATTGGTCGTCGGGGTTTGCATGGAACGGAGGAGTCGATCGAATTCGCTCCGATTGCGCCCTCATAAAAATCCCTGTTTTTCCCAATTCTGGCAGCTCTATATCTACATATCTATATCTATATCAGACCTTAGAAACATAATTTCCAGGAATTTGCGGAGTTTCGGAAGGTGCTTAAATTTACTCATTTGAAGGAAAAAAGGAACCTTCTTTATTAATGACGAGCTAATATTAGGGGTCCCTTTTTACTTTAAAAAAATACATTGATAATGATTTCTCACAATAATCAAAATTGACAAGGATTTGAACACATTATAACACATTCAATTATGTGGCCCCTGTAATTATGTTTTATGTTCTTTTTTTCATTCTATTTAAAGATTTAAATTTCTAGATACATGGCCAATGAAACATAAAGCAAAAATGAATTCAGGAAATACTCGGAATGTAAAAAAGTAATTGAATGTAAAGAAGAAATAAAGATATAAATAAAGAGATAAAAACCTCTACCACCAGTAACAAACTTAGGCTAAATAGAATTGGATTTCATACATAATACTTCAATTAATTCATTTGATGAGAAGTAATCTTAGCAAAGAAAACAAGAACATTAGAAAATGAAATTTGAAAAAAAAAAACACCTATTTTGCACAATTCCATCACTATCAATACTTAGATACTTGTGATACTTGTGATATTATGTAGGCCTATTTTATTCCGTTGCCTTCATGATAAATGTGTTGAATTAATATTTTAGGTGGGAATGGGGAGGGAAGGGGACTGGAACCAAATATTCCGCGCATGCCCCAGGTACACTGCATGGTGGGGGGAGGATCCAGTCTTCCGTAAAACGGAGAAAATGTGCAACGTATCAGTAGGCCTACCTTTACTTCAAAATTACACACCTCCTAGTTTATTTGATAATCACACCACAATTATTTTCGTCCTACCACAATGTTCATCTTACTTGAATTTTCGATCAATAATTGTACAAGAGCTAAATTAAAAATTAAATTAAATTAAATATAATCAAATAACTTCATTTAGCTTCAAATTAAATATATTTTGTATAAATGTTGTTTGCAGTTTACCAAGTCATTGATGTTTTGATTTATTATTTCAACACATCGTAGTTTTCGTGTGAGCCAGTTACGGCAGTTGTATGAATGTATATAGGTTAGATAGATCTGCTCTGAGGTATCGCTGACATTCGCCTAGTGAGAGGCTGGTTCGAATCCCTCAAAAGACACTTTCAGTGTACAACTGAAAAGGAGCTTCCGTTTTTAAACGACACTTGCTATTATTCTTTATAATATTCCTATCTGTGCACTGTTATCCATAGCTGCTTATTCATATGGATAATACGCTTATGTGTAAATGCTGAACATAATTATTGTAAAGGATACAGATCAAGAAATCTATAGTCAGAAAAAAATCGCCTCAACCGAAAGTAAAACTCTGGTCTCAGTGCTTCATGCTTCGTGAGTTTTTACTGCAATCACATTATTACACGGTTGTAGCAATGGCGTTACGCTCGTGAGCTATCGGACTAGGAAGGGAGCGAAGCCCCGACCTCCAGCCAGAAGAGGCCCCTACCCAGCACTATGCTGAGTTTTACAATAGTGCTCTCAGAGGGAAAAAGCTCCAGTCCCCAGTTTAAAGGGACCAGTGGGCCACGGATCTCCTTCTACAATTAGGCCTATCCTAGCACTTAAAGGACACGTCTTTTCAAAAATCAATAAATTATACTCTGTTGATTTTTTTTTTAATTAAAAAAAAAAAACTATCTATGCGAAGGGTCCTCCCTACGCGGCACAAATTACAGGCCCACATCCTACCATGACGGCGCAATAAAGGAACACACCCAAAGCTAAGCAAAGTGTAATCAATGAAAATTTCTCAGTGTTTTTATCTAGTATCCTGTTTCGGAGCAACATAATTCGTGGTATTTATAAAAACAATTAATCAATCAGTTACTTAACCGTTTTTATTGGTATTTTCATAGTATGAGAAAATATTAAACATAAATCATACTGTGCTACTGAGAAAGAAAGAAAAGCTGGAACAAAGATAGACTCGTAATAATCAAACCAATGTCTACTTATTTTGTAAAATATTTATTGCACTACTACGGTATCTTCGACCCAGTACACAAAATATTGCAATTCAAGTTTTAATGAATAAACCAACAAACTGCCTCTTTAATGCAATAAAGGCTTATTGTATAAACATATATGC